TCAAAAGAAAAGAAAAGAAAAGAATATCAGTAGCACTTTCCCTTACCCCCTCCCCTGATTTAATGAAAAAATTAAAAATCAATATGCCAAATACACGCTGCTGCCTTATCCTCAACTGAAAATAATAAATGTCAAATGTCTAAAAAGCTAAACCTACCATTCTTGATCTTAGCAAACCAGACAATACATTAACCAGATAAGAAAAAGAAAAAAAAGGTCCAACAAATATGCTGAACTCATGCAAGAAGCACCGAATATTTTAGAAATTAAATATATTACTAAACGAGATAATAGATTATCAAAAAAATAAATTACCAACAAGAAAGTACTATATAAGTAACAAATAACATTCTAACAAGCAAGAAGCTTTCTAGTCAATCCATTTAAGTAACTACCCTCCACATCATAAGATTCATTATCAAGAGTCCAGCCATTGAGTAAACCAGGAAATATCACAGAGCACAATCACTTCCATTAAAAATCTAAAAGTGCATCAATGTAATATATTTGGCATGTCTTCTCTACATAATCCAAACCCAATTAACCAACAGGAATAGATTCTACACATTATTTTACTAGTCGGAATGTGTACGATCACAAAGGGTGGGCTTGATGGTCAAGGGTATAATTTATGGACAATCCTGAGGTCAAAGATTGCTTTTTCAACACTTCGGGCCAAGGTTTTGCCCATCAATCCCCCCTGTAACTAACAAACAACTACACTTCAACCCCTGGCAAGTTGAGATCGGCTATGTAAATTCTCAGTGTCCATGCCGATACATTTTAGCCTGTCTTATCTTGTAATGCGAGGATTCACTATATTGACCAGTTTGCTGGTTGTCTACTTAGGACCAGTCAATGTGAGCAAGCTCACACAGGTGGAGTTTCCCTTTGTAACCACAGGGAAATAAAAAGGTGCTTTTATGACTAAGAAAGATCTTGACTTCAGGAGCAATAGATATGTTGTATGCATTGCAACAGCTGGACTGCATAGAAAAAAACTGACAGATGTTAATGAAGTCAAACTCTACCTGCAATATGAAATACAAAACCAAAAACAAATTGTAAGGGGTCGTTTGGTAGGGTGTATAAGAATAATGCTAAATAGGGTGTATTAGCAATGCTAATATTAATTATGCTTGCATTAGTTATGCTGGAATTAGTTATGTTGACATATTTCTTATCCATTTGGTTTGATGTATTAAAGCACTGCACAATTTCTAACAAAATTGTTTGTTTACAAAAATACCCTCATAACCAGTCCATCACTTTATCTTTTTAAAAGAAACATATGTTGAGGAATGTTTTTATATGAAAAACGNACTAAATATTTATTTATAAAAAAGAAAATATGCTAAGTATTTATTTATTTACTAGGGATATAATTTTATTTCTCACTTTCTTGGATTATTTCAAACTTGCATTAATATAATAGCATATTTTAATCAATCATAAATTTTGAAGGACAATGTTGTCTTTAACTAAGCTAATGCATGCATTAAAACCCATTGCATTTTTAATATCATAGTTTCATATGCATTAGTTATGCATAGGATAATACCAAATAGGGTGTATAACTAATGCTGCATAACTAATGCATAGGTTCAAAAAGTGCACCAAACAAGGTATTATGAATACACAAAGCTAATGCATGCATTATTTTATCTAATGCATCCTACCAAATGACCCCTAAATGTGATTCCCAGATAATAAATATCTGCAGACTGCAGCCCAGAAATTAAGAAGCAAAGTTAGAATAACAACAATTGAATATAACAGACTCAACCACCTTTAACCGTTCTACATCACAGCCATTCTACATATTCAGCCATTCTACATCCACAGCAATAGAATATAACACACGCAACCACCTAGTTAAGCAACAAAACACAGATAAAAATTTAATTCCCAAATCCCAAGTCAAAAGGATTGGCTCATAAGTTGAAGGTCAACTACAAAAAGTATCTTCTAGACAATAGATATGAGAATCATGCTCAGATTCTCAGGCTGAATAGCTCAATGTCCAAAGATCGGACATTTCGCAGCAAGCAATAAATTACAACCTTGTGCAGACAATCCATACAAGAAAATCAAAAAGTTCAACACATTGAAAACAAAATACAAGAAAATATCATTTTATACCACCAAAGGAGCAGCTAAAAAGATGCAGGTCCAACATTTACCCATATGAATGTAGAGACAAACAGGATATACAAGTGTGCATGCCCACATAGACTGTCAACAATTGAACAGATCATCAAAACAACAAACAACAAGTAGAACTCAGTCCCAATAAAGTGGGGTCGGCTATATGAATCCTTCTAACCATGTTTTTCCATTTAATTTCATCTCGGGCGGAAAAACAAGAATGTCGCACTTGGAAAAAGAGGAAGATGCATGTTTGAGGAATCGAATCCATGACCTTGGATTTTCCAAGAAACCAGCGTGACCACCTTGACTGGATGAGGGAAAGTAAAAGCAAAGAAATATTAAAAGATCATGTTTGGTGGAAGGGAGGGAAACGAAATGGAGGAGAAAGTAAAGGGAAGTTAATCAGTTATTTATTGCTTTTTCCTGGTTTTTTATTTTGTAAGTTTTAAATCTTTCCAGACATATGACATTTTTCCAAGTTGAATTGAGACGTCGTTATGCTAAGCCTTGAACACTGGCCAAAGATTTTTAGTAGCTCATGAAATATAAATTAAAAAAAAGAGACTATGTGCACAAAATCACTTCTAAGCTGGCTATACTAGAAGAAGGCAAACTAAGGTAGAAAGTAATGCCTGCCCAACACAAAACTATCTCTTCCAGTACAAGTAGGATGAAGGATGAGCAACTGCAGCAGATGGGACATGATCTGCTCGTGAGCCACTGCTTCGGTGTAGTTCACTTGCTGGAACAGTATCAGCAAACTGATATGGTGCAGGTATGGTGTTTGGCAACCCTATAGAGCCTTCCAAGTATGGTGGAGGCCTGTAAGCGTCACCAGCTATGGTGTTTGGCAACCCCGCAGAGCCTCCCAAGTATGGTGGTGGTCTATTGGCATCACCAGATATGGTGTTTGGAAACGCCTTAGAGCTTTCCATATATGGTGTTGGCCTATAAGCATCACCGGGTGTAGTGCTTGGCAATCCCGTAGAGCTTGAGCCTTCCAAGTAGGAGGATGGCCTATAAGCATAGCTGTGGGAGGCCAGTTTGTCATACATGGCTGCATCACCATGCGATCCATATAACTGACCAATATGACTTCCTATTTGCCCGGGTGTATGATCAACACCTGAACCTCCTTGCACTGGTTTACCTGCACCAGCGCCATCCATGGCCACAACACCTCCCACAGGTCCTGCCAGTGAGCCAACAACATTTTCGTGTATTGAGCCTGTAACAGTTCCATGCAATACAGATGGGGATTGAGAATAACCATAATTGTGGCCAGCAGTTCCACCACCCCCTAATAAGGTGTTATTGCTATCATCAACATGATTAACAACTCTTTGTTGTTGTGGTGGCCATGGATTTGGATTCGGAAAATGTGAGTGTCTCATTTCTTTGTTGCTGAAACTACCAGAAGACGACGACTCAATCTCATCATTTTTTCTCTTTTGTGCCATCTTCTGATCACCTATACGCATAGTCAATTCAGCAAGTTCTTTCTCACCTATATGCTTATTTAACTCAGCAATTTCTTTCTCCAAGTTCATAATTCTCATATCGATTTGCCACCCAGGAAGGAGTTTTGTAGGATCAATCTTGTGATGTCCCAAACATTCGCTGACAGATTTCAGATGAGACAAATGCTTCTTTTTAACTGAACGCACAGTAATACCTTGTTCGAGTCCCTTAGTTTTGTTCAATAATGACACTTCAGAGTTATGTAAAAATGATGTCAAGTGTCTGCGAGGGTTAAATCTCTCCTCCATTCCAAAAGTATAGGCAATGTCAAGGGCCTCAACTACTATATTTTGCTTCAACATCCACCCAATTATTTCTGGGATCTTTTCCATGAGAACACTTGATCTCCTGAGGGCACCAGAAATCACCCAGGCATCACTAACCGTAACCAAATATCTGATATCCAGATTTGTAAATGCTTGTGGGATCCCGAAACACCCAATGAGCAACAACAAACCTCGGGCATCCATTTCGTGAGCCTTTATTACACCTCCTTGGTAAATCATTCTCTCCCGCCATGCTAAAGCTGCCTGCTCCGCGTCTTCCTTGGCCCCTTTGTCATTCTCAATAGCAGCCAATAACAAGCACTCCAAAGTCAATACAGAAGCTAATGATCTTGAGCTATTAACATACCTTTCGCTTCCCCCCTTGTTAATACATTCCAATACAAGCCTAGCAGGATTGGGCGAGAGTTTCAATGCCTTAGGGACTTGTTCACGGAGGCCATTTATATCTGAGAGATGCGTTATCATGTATTCCTTCAGACCAATGCTGTTCATCGTTTCGCACAGGATTTCCAGCTCTGAACGACAAGGGGATTTCGCCTCCTCCTCCTCCTCCTCCTCCTCCTCTTCCCCTTCCTCTTCATCGTTATCTTCATCTTCATCTTCATCTTCATTTTCATCTTCCACCTCAGAGGGGTCAGATTCACAAGATGGCTCTGGTTCTGGCTGTGGGGCTGGGAGTGCCGCTGCTGACGGAGTGTTATTCGTTGACTGTTCATTGTTTCGCAGTAGTAGCATAGAGGAGACGATTGAGGTCCGGACGGAATCAATGTGCTGTTCTAGCTCAGTCAAGCATCGCTGGAACACGGAGAGGCCGTCAGAGAGTTTGCGGAGATTAACAATCATCGATTCCTTGGAATGTGTTGGTTGTAATTCCGAGTCTGGAGGCTCTGACGGCGTCTTAGCACCGGCGGCAGCGGCGGCGGAATCCGCTGGTTTTTCCATCTTATTCATCGGAGTAGAAGTGGAGAACCAGAAAAATTGACCACAGAGAAGACGGGACTAGGGAGGAAATGACAAAATGGGTCCTTTTAACTACTGGGGGTGTTTAAAACTGTCCTTTCATTTCTTTTTCAACAGCTTATAGTCCTTGAGTAAAATAAAGTTACATTTCTAGGGGTAGTTTGGTTCATGGGACAAGCGATCACAATTCTATTACCTTTTTAGCCAAAAATGTTTTTTCTACAAAAATATTTATTTCTAAAGTTAAGGTGTTTGTCCTAATTTTTAGAAAGAAAAAATATATTTTTGAGTAGAAGTAGAAACTGTTCTTGAGAAGCAGAAAAACATATTTTCTCCGTAAAAGAACGTTTTTGAAAAGTATTTTTGAGGAAAATACCCTTAAAAGTATTTTTAAAAGTTTGGTCAAACATTAATTGTTACTTAAATGTGTTTTTCAAATTGATAAGCCAAACATAATTTGTTTCTCAGCAAAAGTACTTTTTTGAAAAACCCGTTTAAGAAAAACACTTTTCAAAATAAATTAATTTTTGAAGCATGACCAAATAAACTATAATTGTGAGTTATTTTATTTCATGTCATGTATAACTTTTTATTCTGGAATTAGTAATATGGTGATTGTTTATACAACAATAGTGGTATTATTTCTACGGAAAAGGCCAAAAATTATCCTTATCGTTTGCTAAATGGTTTATAAATACCCTCCGTCCATCTATCCGTCCAAAAAAAAACACGACGTTAATTCTATTAACAAAATTAACCCGCGACTAACGGCAGAACTGGTGGGCCTACATTCAATGACGTGTCATTTTTCTACTGGGCCACGTGACAATCTCTGACTGAAACAAAAATGAATATTGTTTCGATCCACTTAACTGACCCGACCCAATGGCTTCCCATTTTTTGGATCTTCTTCGTGATTTCACCACCATTCTCGACTGGGCGGCCCTTCAATTTCCTTACAGTTGAGCATTTTCAGCAAATGAACCCAGCACAACACTATCACCACCACTATTTCCTACATCTTTACCAACAATTTCTTCCTCCTTGGCCCTAATTCCAAATACATCAAAGAGAATTAAATTTTAGCTGCAAAAATCGCACTTTGCACCATTAGATATTTATAATTTCTCTGTCAATCAACAAAACACGACCCATTTAACTATGATGAGAATAAGTTTCTCTCTTTCTTTAAAAAAAATCAAATACCCGAACAACTCAAAATACTCCAAAAGAGGAGGCATTCTGCAAAAACCATAATTCCAAAATCTTTAGAGCAGAAAGAACTAAATTTCCACTGCAAAAACTCCAATTTCTCTGTCAATTCAACAAAACACAACCCATTTCACTATTTTGACAATAAATTTACCTCTTTCCTTAAACAACTCAAAATACTCAAAAAAGGTAATTATTCTCAAAACCCAACATCAACAGAAACTCTCAATAGCAGAGAAAGTAACAACTAGGACAAAAGAAGATTACATTTTTTACTTCGTCAACCATTTTTACCTCCTCAGTAAATCAAGAAAAAACCCTAAATCTCTACAGCAAGAGAAAACACAAATTCCACAAGAAAATATCCCCATATTCCAACAAAAAAGAAAAGGGGAGATGCGTATAATTACCAATGCCAGGCTTGGGTGAAATCAAGAAGAAGATCGGAAAAATGGGGAAGCCATTGGGTCGGGTCAGCTAAGTGGGTCGAAATAATATTTATTTTTGTTCCAGTCAGAGATTGCCACGTGATCCGGTAGAAAAATAACACGTCATTAAATGTAGGCCTGCTAATTCTGCCGTTAATCGCGGGATAATTTTGTTAATAAAATATGTTGTATATTTTTTTGGACGGATAGATAAACGGAAGGTATTTTTAAACCATTTAGCAAACGATAGGATTTTGGCCCTTTCCATTATTTCTATACACGCTTAATGTGGGATAATAATGTTGAGAGTACTAATCTATATTTATATATAATATAGCGATTTTAAGTGCTGACATGGCACCTCCCTTTGCTTAGGAATCATATTTACCTTTTTTTGTGATTTTTTTGCTTATTTTCCTCAGTGTTACATTTATTTACTATGTACAAAAAAATTGAAAAGACGTTTCTTTTATGTTTTAACGGATGTCTCCTGAAAGGTCACTTCTGCTCCATCTCTTCTTCTTTCTCTCTGAGCGTCAGTTTCCACTAAAGGTGTTAATCGGGCCGGGCTGACCCGCTAACAGCCCGGTTCAACCCGGGTCAGCCCGGTCCAGCCCGTTACTGTAGCAAAAAAAGCGGGTTGGGACGGGTTGGGCGGGGGGCGGGCTACAAACGTTAATTTTTTTTTAAACGGGTGACCGAACCCGCTACAACCCGTTAACCCGTAATATAATTTTTTTTTTATTTATTAAAATCTGACCGTTGCCAACGGTCAAATACCAAAAAAGACCGTTGGCCAACGGGTTTTTCTGCCCCAACAGCCACTTTTTTCTTCTTTATTTATATTTTAACCCCCGACCCCTTATAATTTGTAAATTGCAATTGTAGCCTTTTAAAAACTATAAATACCCCCCTTTCTTCTTCATTATTCCTCACAATTCAATTCATTTTCTCTCTAATTCTCTCTCAATTCTCTCTTGATAATATTCCCAATTACTCATTATTTCAAGCTTTCAACTTTCAAGTTTCATCAAATATTTAGCTTTGTCATTACAAAAGTATTATTATCATAAATTTCTAATTCAATTATTCAAGTGAAGTGTGGCATCAATTATCAAGTATCAAGTTATCAATTGAAGTTTGAGTTTCTACTTTCTATATCAAATTTAGTGCGGCATTCAGAATCCCGGTACACTCGTTCCATCCCTTTCTCTTTATTATTTAGAATTTTTATTTGAATTTTTTATTTTAAATTACATAATGGATTTACTTAGAGCGGCCAAAAAAGCTTGCACTACTAGTAGAGGTGGTAGTAAGAAAAATTCCAAAAGAATAAGAGGTGGTTCTTCTTCTAGTAGTTTTACACATGTTTCTGAAAGTTCACCCGAAAATGTAAATGTAGATTATGAGCTACTTCAAGAAAATTATGGTATTGATGATGATTTAGATGATATTTTAAATGATATTCCATCACCCGATAATCTTGAAACACCACCACCTACACCCGGTAATGCTAGTCAAACACAAAATATTAGGGGTGAAAGTGCAAGTAAGCCTCCTTTGCCTATTAAAAAGAATCGAAGATTAAGAAGTAAGTGTTGGAATTTTTTTGACAGACTAGAAAATGAGAAAAATTATGTAAAATGTAAAATATGTAAGGAAGTTTATAAACATGAGCCCGGTAACAAATTTGGAAGATGATGATAATGTTCAAGATTATTTGATTTGGTCTACACTAGGAGAGCATCAACAAACCAGTAGCCGGAATATTGATGAACTCCAATTCTACTTGCAAAAGTCACCGGAGCCCCTCACAAAGGATTTTCTACCTCTGAGTTGTGGAGGAGCAACTCAAATTAGTTTCCTGTTCTTTCGGCCATGGCTCGAGACGTTCTAAATGTGCCTATTTCAACAGTCGCATCAGAGAGCGCATTTAGCCAAGCAAGACAGCAGCTAGGAGATACCCGTCATTCATTGGGCAGCAACGCTTTGGAAGTTCTAGTGTGCTTCAGAGATTGGATTAGATCAGAACGGCGAAATCAAGGGCGTGACGAGGTAGATGAAGAGGAAGACTAAGAAATTGGAGATATAATGGTTTATGGTACCGATTATAATACCGGAAACCAAGAACCTCACATTGACATGGAAGAGCTTTCAAAGATGATGCAAAACATATGATTTACTATTTCTTCTTTTTTTTAAACTTTTAATTTGCAAGTTCAAAAATTTTAAAAATCAAAAAAGAACTTGCAAATTAATTTGAAGTATTATATTATTCAATAAAAATATCAAAGTTACTTAAATATTGTGATTTTTTTATATTGCATATTAGTCTTATTCAATATTTTTTATATAGACACTTACTTTCTATTTTCAAATTTAGAATTTTTTAGTTTGTTTTTTTAATTCTAACCCTTAAAAGTTCAATTCTAATCTTTAATTTTAACCCTTAAAAGTTTCAATAACATTGAAAAAGAAAAATATAACTTAATTTAAAAAAAAAAATTATATATAGCCCGACCCGCCCGAGCCCGTTAAACCCGCACCCGTACGGGCCCTATAGAACCCGAAAAATCCCAGCCCGACACCAACCCGTTAACCCCAGACCGATAACAACCCGCCCCGAACCCGTACGGGCTGACGTTTTTTTTGTCCAGCCCGTCCCAGCCCGCCCGATTAACACCTTTAGTTTCCACCCTACTGACAAAACCAAACGCCTCCATCTCTTATTCTCTATACACAAATCTGAAACAATCAATCTCCATGGAACGGGTGCTGAAACCTGTGATAACAATGTATCTCAATGTAACGGTTTTCTCACCTTATCTAATTGCTCTATGTTGAAGGTGTCACGTGAGTGGAGTGACAGTTGGATCCTAGTTGGAGAAGAGTTAGTTAGAGTAGTTATTAATTAAGTAATTAGAAAGGTAGTTAGGTCGGTTATACTCTGTATAAGTATGTGTATAGTGTATTGTTCAATACAACAGTAAAACTTCATTTCCTCTCTGCTCCTCTCAGTCATGTAAAACTTTCCACAGAAGCATTCATGGCAGACACTCAACATGGTATCGGAGCTCAACACGATAGTCACGCTCGTCTGATTTTCCCTTTGATTTCATATGAACGAAGCTTCTCCTTTTTCTTCTCTTTCGTCTCCTTCCCTTGGAAATATCGTATCGACAATGGCGACAGAGAAAATCGATCACACTCATTCTTTGTTTGTTCATCCTTCAGATACTCCAAGATCCGTGTTAGTTCCAGTCCAGCTCATAGGTTCTGAAAACTACGGGATATGGTGGAGGTCGATGAGAATTACTGTCACGACCCAAATCTCGCTCCGTA